TAGTAGAGACGGGGTTTCACCATGTTGACCAGGATGGTCTCGATCTCTTGACCTCGTGATCCACCCGCCTCGGCCTCCCAAAGTGCTGGGATTACAGGCGTGAGCCACCGCGCCCGGCTAAAAATCATGCTCTTATAATACTTTTAATAATCATTTCATGTGTACACGAATATATGGTGTAGAATAATATATATGGAAGACTTGGAAGCGTGGAAGGGTGGCTGGGGGGGTGAAGGATGATTAATTACCTGATGGGAGCAATGTACATTATTTGGGAGATGGATACACTAAATCCCAGACTTCACCACTATGTAATATATCCATGTAACAAAACTGCAATTATATTTAAATTTATATCAAAAAAATTTCATAATCATTAAAAATTTTGTTTTGTTTTTTTTTAGAGACAGGTCTCACTCTGTTGCCCAGGCTGGAGTGCAGTGGCACAATCATAGTTCATTGTACTCTTGAACTCCTGGGTTCAAGTGATCCTCCCACCTCAGCCTCCCAAAGCACTAAGATTACAGATATAAGCCACCATGTCCAGCCCATTTTTAAGGGGAAAAAAGAAGGATTATGCTTGTTCTTTAAAACTCTAAGAGAAATAGAGATGGCAAACCTACACTTCTTAATCAATCAGAGATGTGCATATTAGGACCCTGGAAGCTAATAAGAAGTATGTTTAGCTAAATAGAAAGAAACTCCTATGAAACTCAAAACTTATTATCCCTGGAGGTAGTACAAGCTGAAAGGGTTTCAATGAACCAAATAATGATAGGGCCATAATAGCTTATGGAGAGAAATTACTATATATTGAGGGTGCTGCATTCCAGTTTGAGACTGGGGGCATTTGAGTACTAGAGAGTCATAGGTAATGCTCTGGGATTACTCTCTCATCTTCCTCTCTGAGGCCAGAAATTTTTTTCTAAGCCTATGGAAATGTAGTAAACTAAAGGTTCCCTTAGGCTTTTGGGGGTATTTTTTTTGGCCAAGATTAGATTTACCAACTGTACATAAGAATGTGTGTGTTTATGTTTATTTATTTGTTGAAACAGGGTCTTGCTCTGTCACCAGGCTCGAGTGCAGTGGCCGATCATGGCTCACTGCAGCTTCGACCTCCTGGGCTCAAAGGATCCTCATGCCTCAGCCTCTGGCTGGGACCACAGGTGCACAAAACCACCCCAACTTTTTTATTTCTTGTAGAGACAGAGTCCCTTTATGTTACCCAGGTTAGCCTCAAACTCCTGGCCTCAAGTGATCATCCTGCTTTGACCTCTCAAAGTGCTGGGATTACAGGCATGAGCCACTGCGCCCAACTCCAACTGTTTATTTAAAACCTATATAGACTGGGTGCAGTGGCTCACACCTGAATCCTAGCACTTTGGGAAGGCGAGGCAGGTGGATTGCCTGAGCTGAGGAGTTCAAGAACAGCCTGAGCAACATGGTGAAACCCCATCTCTACTAAAAATACAAAAAAATTAAGCCGGGGACAGTGGCTCACACCTGTAATCCCAGCACTTTGGGAAGCTGAGGTGGGTGGATCACGAGGGCAAGAGATTGAGACCATCCTGGCCAACATGGGGAAAACCTGTCTCTACTAAAAATACAAAAATTAGCTGCGTGTGGTGGCACATGCCTATAGTCCCGGCTAAGGCAGGCAAATCACTTGAACTCGGGAGGCAGAGGTTGCAGTGAGCTGAGATCGTGCCACTGCACTCCAGCCTGGTGACAGAGCAACAGTGTCTAAAAAAAAAAAAATTAGCCAGGTGTGGTGGTGCATGCCTGTAATCTCAGCTACTCAGGAGGCTGAGGCACAAGAATCACTTGAACCCAGGAGGCAGAGGTTTCAGTGAGCCGAGATCATGCCACTACACTGCAGCCTGGGTGACAGACCAAGGCTCAGTCTCACACACACACAAAAAAATCATATAAAAAGGAACTGTAAAATATACTTGTGGTGTGTGGTGGATACTTTAGGTAGTCCCTGTGGCTCTGACTTCCTGGTGTTCATGTACTTGTGACTTGCTTCTAACCAGTAGAATATGGCAGAGGAATGCAATGTGATTATGTTATGGGACGTAAGACTCCATCTTGCTAGCAGACTTACTCTAGAGTCTCCTTCTCCCATGCTGGCTATGAAGCAAGCTACCATGGGGCAGAAACGCACAATGCAGAGAACTTGAGGAGCTCAGGGCAGGCTGTCCTACCACTGTAAGGGTTCTGCCAGAGAATAAATGATTACATATAATTCCCATAACACCCTTTCTACGTAGACTTTTTAATCCCCATTTTCAAGATGGGGAAGTAAAGCTGAAGTTTGCTGATCTGCTAAGGTCCCAAGCCCAAGACACAGCCGGGACTAGAGCCCAGATCTGCCTGACTCTGAGCTGAAGCTTTTCACCATTAGTGCTCTATCTCCCAGGTGCTGGCCTCTGCTCACTCCATTCCCTTTGGTTGAAATGCACTTCTTCTCCTCAGCGCTGGATATTCTTCCTCCTCCTTTGACAACTCACAGGTCAACTTCTCTGAGAAGTTTACCCTGATAACCCAAGAGGGAAAGAGCATCTCAGCATCACCCTCCTCTAAACATTTCCAACCCTTTGCATCCACTCATGAAAATGGTAGAAGTATGTACACTGCTTCCTTGCTAAGGGAGTGTCCATCTAATATGCCTGGTGTATTCCACTACATTCCCCAAACCCCAAGCCTACATGAATCCTTGCTTTCAACATCTACAGGATGAATGAAAAGCAAGTAAATAAGTAACTGAAGTTCAGTGGATGTGGTCAGATGCCTGCAGGTCTTCCAAGTCTCACCAGGGTCTAGCATTGAAGTGGGATGCAACCATCAGGGCTGTTTCTGAACAAAATGTCCAAGAAGAGCCAAGAAAATGAAGCAAACAACAAAAAAATCTTGATGAGATAGCTGAAGGCACACTAACCTGCTTTAAGTTGGCTTTTCATAAGCTGTGTCTGTGTTCCCTCCCCACAGTCAAAGAGCCAGCACTCGCCCTCACACCGAAGGACCACAGCAGAGGCACCCCGGGTTGGAGATGGGTATGCTGCACCCGTCCCCAGAAACGTCACATCCATAGACATCTTCCACCCTGCAACAGAATGATCATCTGGGGATTATTTAGTATCACTGCACCAAAAACACATTCCTGTAATATTTACCATTATTATTTTTTGGTTATTTAGAACAGTCTGAATTCTTGTTCTCTTATAGTATTCCACACATATCCACAGTGAGATTTTAATAACTTGGCTAAAACTACAAGTTAACAAATCTTGTATAATTGTTCACACACCCAAACAAACAAAAATAACCAAACCCAGGCAATTAAAAACTATAGTTGAATTCTAAATATATGATGTTCTCAAAAAGGCAAAACTATGGAGATGGTAAAAAGAATAGTGCTTGCTAGTGATACAGCAGGAGGGAGGGAAGAATGAACAGGCGGAGCACAGAGGATGTTTAGGGCAGTGAAATGATTCTGTATGATACCATAAGACAAACATGTCATTATACATTTGTCAATTGTATACAGAATGAACGCTAGAGTGAATGAGCCCTAATGTAAACTTTAGTTGAAAATGTATCAATATTGGCTCATCAACTGTAACACGTATAGCACATTTTTCTTTTCTTTTTTGAGCCCTTAAGCTTCTGAACATGTACCATATTAATGCAAGATGTTCATACAGGGAAAACTGAGTGGTGAGGGATAAGACAGCATATGGGAACTCTCTATACTTTCCACTCATTAATTTTAAAAAATTCCTTCTAATAAACACTAAACAACTCTAGTTGAGATACTGGGCAAGAGATGGTATTTAGATCACCAAATGGTATCTCTGATGCCCATAATGATCAGCCCTTTCTCTGAACAATCAAAACAGTAATGCTCTATGATGTTCTACAGTCATGCTGACACTTCACAATAATGCTGACAAATGTCTCACTCCCTACATGACATGGTCCATGATTCACGAGGACTTGGGACTCTTATTTTAAGTGATCAGCAATAACCTGTTGAATGTGCAGATTTATTCCAACTGCTGGCACTATTCCTTTCACGATTTCTAGGCACATCTGACATCTCTGATATACTTCTGAGATGGAAAATGTGTATCAAACAGAATAAATTAGAATAAACTGAAACTTATACATGACTGATTGTAGATTGTTCACATTGATGGCAGAGAAAAAAACAAGCTTAAGAAAAACTACTATAAAAGAATTCAATAGCTGGATATAAAATATATGGAAATTTCAATAACTCTTCTCAGTAATAACATATAAATAGAAATGGGGGAAAAAAACTCATTCAAAGAGCAAAAACAAAATTACCAGAAATAAAGTTAGCAGCAAAGGAACAGCACCCAAAAGATTCACAAAAATAAGAGATACACATTATGTCTTTGGTAAGATGACTTGGTATCACAGAAATGTTCATCTTTCCTAAGTTAATATAGATATATTTGGTGCAAATTCGATCATATTTCCAGTGGGATTTATTCTGGAACAGAAACAATACAAAAATAATATGGAAGAAAAAATAAATGCCTTGGAAGGGGCAAGAAAATTACAAAAAGCAGTGAGTAGTGACTTGTCTTTCTAGGTATTAACATTTACTAGAGCAATCTGACGTAATTAAAACAGAATAGGCCAGGCACAGTGGCTCATGCCTATAATCCCAGCACTATGGGAGGCCAAGGCAGGTGGATCAACCGAGGTCAGGAGTTCGAGACCAGCCTGGCCAAGATGGTGAAACCCTGTCTCTAATAAAAATACAAAAATTAGCTGGGTGTGGTAGCTCATACCTGCAGTCCCAGCTACTCAAGAGGTTGAGGCAGGAGAATCGCTTGAACCTGGGAGGCAGTGGTTGTAGTGAGCCAAGATTGCGCCATTGCACTCCAGCCTGGGTGATAGAGTGAGACTCTGTCTCAATCAATCAGAATAATATTGGCACAAAAGTAGAGGTAAAAGGGAAGGGAAAGTCCAGCAATAAACTACCTACCTATGGGAATCAATATAGTATTGATAAACCACACTTTACACACAGGTGTAAAAAGTGTGGTTTCTTTAATGAATGGCACTGACATAATAGGTTGTTCTAGCAGAAAAAAGCAAAGCAAGATGCTCATTTTGTACTGTATATAAAAATACACTCCACATAAGTCAGAAATTTAAATGCAAAAAATCCAATAACATGTTCCAAAAATTAGAATATTTATACCTTTAAGGGTAGAGATGGGGAAGCCCTTATTGGCAAGACATAAAACCCGGAAATTTAAAAATCAGACATTTCCACTAAATAAAATATTTTATATATCAAGACTCATAAAGTCAAAGGACAAGGAAAAAAAAAACTGAAAGAAAGAGTTTGGACCCCCTTATGACAGAGAGTTAATGCTCCTAAAAAAGTTTATGCAAATGCATTCAAAATACAAAAATACTGATGCAATAGAAAAACAGGCAAAGGATATATATACATGTATATATAGGAATCACAGAAGAAATCCAAATGGCCTATAAGCATGAAAAGGGTTCAAACAACTATCATGTATCTATTTTAAAAATTAAAATAAATAAATAAAAGGTAAGTGTTCAGTCTCCTGATAGTTAGTGGAATGCAAAATACAGAAAAAAGAGGCTGGGTGCAGTAGCTCATGCCTGTAATCCCAGCATTCTGGGAGGCTGGGGCAGGAGGATCACTTGAGTCCAGGAGTTTGAAACCAGCCTAGGCAACATAGTGAGACCCTGTCCCTAGAAAAAAATTAAAAAACAAAAATCAGCTGGACATGGAGGCACGTGCTTGTAGTCCCAGCCATTCAGGAGGCTGAGGCAGGGGATCATTTGAGCCAGGGAGGTTAAGGCTGCAGTGAGCCGTGATCTCACTGCTGCACTCCAGCCTGGGTGACAGATCAAGATCCACTCTCACAACAAACAAAAAAAAGAGACTGTTTACCACACATCAGCTAGCAGGCAAATATCAATGAAGCAAATCTAGCCGGTGCTAACCAGGATGAGGGTAAATGGGTCCTGTTGCGATTATGCTTTGGAAGAATAATTTGGCAATATATATTACCAGTAATAATGATGCTGATGATAATTATATGCTTTCACCCAGCAATTACCATTTTTGGGAATCTACCCAAATAATAAAGATCTATGTACAATGATGTATACTGCGGTGCCCTTAAGGTGGCTAAAATATGGACACAATCGAAATATGTCAATAGGAAAATGGGTACATTTGACTATTATTTATTCTATCAACTATATATTCTTCAGCTAATAGAAAGTCAAGTCTGCAACTACTGTCCTGGAGGGATGACAAGGAGAAAAGTTACAGATGGCTATGGTATGATCTCATTTTTATAACAATGCCCCAAACTCCTACATTTATGTAAGACAGAGAAAGTCTGATGTGGGAGAAGATACACACCAACCTGTTAATATGGGTTATCTCAGAGGTGATTAAAGTAATGGGGTGGGGGCTGCATGGGAAATTGTTAACTTTTCTTTTAAATATGTGGATTGTTTTATGTTCCAATGAGTGGCACTTTATTTTTTTTTATTTATTTTTACTTAATGCTGATGCTTTTTTTGGAAATGTGTCAAACATGCTTCTCTAACTACATATTAGTCTTTCCTTCCATTTTGGGAAACAGCTCCTCCCCATATTTCCTGCCCCCAACCCTCAGATATAAGGTGGTGCATCTCTGTCTTACGCATACCCTTGAGGTTATTGCTAGTATCCCTTCCATGTGTTACTCTACATTTTCACCTCCAAGATCAAGTCTTCCTCTGATAATAAAGGAGCTTTATTTGCAGAAGCTTCCTTATTGATTTCCAAGATTAGTAAGAATAAACAGAATGCAGAAAGTTAACATTTGTAAAGGCTAATTAACTGCAGAAGGAAAAATAGAATATAATCACTTTGTCATCCCTAAGAAACAATGTATCTAGACAAGTAGTATATAACCCTGGGGGCATATTAGTATCACAGGGAGAGCTTTTGAAAGGTATCAGTGAAGGTCAGGTTTGGTGGCTCATGCTTGTAAACTCAGCACTTTGGGAGGCTGAGGCAGCAGGATGGCTTGAGGCCAGGAGTTCAAGATCAGCCTGCGAAACATAGCAAGGTCCTGTCTCTATAAAAAATTTAAAAATTAGCCGGGCATGGTGGCATACACTTGTAGTCCCAAACAAAACAAAACCCGTATCAACGCTTGGGCTCCATCTCAGAACATTTAGATAGGAAATTCTGCAAGTGAAACATGTTTTAGTATTTTTTTAAAAGCCTTCTCCTGTGATCCTAACATGGAGTCAGATTTGAGAACCACTTAGTGAAAGACTAACAGAACTGCAATGGATGGATCAGGCTGACCTAAACTCTCTAGTCAACTAATCTATCTTTTTTAAAGAAGTTTTATTCTGAAAACTTCAGACACATACAGAAGCAGAGACTAGCATGATGCAATGCCACACACCCATCACTGAGCTTCAACAATCATCAACTCATGGACAATCTTGTTTCAGCTGTACACCCCATCCCATTACTCCAAGAATACTTGGTAAGACAAACGTGTGCTGTCTGATAGAAGTACCCCATTAGGCAGCATGTACTGTCTAGCTGTCTCTCTTTCTGATATTAACAGCCACTAGTGATCATTGCCAGGGTCCATTATTTCATTAGGGGTTGCCAAAAGGTGATATTCTCTCATTTCTTTTGCTTGTATTTGCTGGCATTCCCTGGTCAATTGTTTGGTTATCCTATGGTGCTACTAGGTCCACAAAGAGAGACAAGATGCTATCTGACTCCTGGTGTGATACAATGTGAAAAACAGAGTAATCTCCCATGAAGTTCTCTTGCAAAAAAACAGAACCTGACCTCAACAAGGCACAGGTCTAAATACCTGCTTATTAAAGGATACCACAGAGATGAAAAAAGCAAATTCTGATGTAGAAAACGCGAACCGCACAAATGACTTGTTCTTCAAGTAAAATACAGGGAACAAAACAAAGGAAGGAAAAAGATAAAGAGAGAGCTAAGAGACATCAACCAAATGTAATGTGTGTAGTTTGTTTGGATACTGATTTGGACAAACTGGAGAAGGGGAGAGAAACAACTAGGAAAATGTAAATGCTGACTGGATAGTAGAGGGTAAAATGAAGTGCTAATTATACTAATAATGGCTTTATGTTTTAAGTGTGATTGTGTTTCATAAACATGAACAAGATAACAGATGGAATGGTACATTTCAGATTTGCTTTAAAATACTACAGTGGGGAAGAGGGTAACAGATGAAACAGGATTGATCACGAATTCGGAGTTCAGTATACTATTTTCATATATGATTTGAAGGTTTCCATAATAATTTAAAAACAAATATAATGAAAACCCTCCCAATAGGTTAGGAAATAATTAGAAATTATGTAATCAATGGTGCATGTTTTGGGACATGCACCATTCTAGGCACTAGGAATTAAATGCAAGCAAACCAGATTAGGTCCCTGTCTTCTTGAACCAAAACCAACCAAACAAACAAAAAAAACACAAAAAATCCCGGCTGCTTGCTTTCTCAAGAATGTGATCCACGTTCGGTGAAGTGCATATTTCAGTCGTGATCACAGTACTGTCATTTCACTCTGGGGCCGTGGTTCTCAGTCCTGGCCGCAGATCACAATTACCCGGTGGTGACCGGGCTTCAGCATTTGGAGGCTTCCCAAGCGATTCTACTGGCTGCCGGGTGGAGAACCGGCGCTCCTTCGTTTTCAGCCAGGCAGTATCAACCCTGCAATCACCCTGTGGTGTGCATAGGGCAGATACCACCGTCCTCCATCTTAGAGCTGAAAGAACCGGGGCCTGGAAGCAGAAAGTGAGATGCCAAGGTACAAGCAGGGCCAGAGGCCAGATTTCCAACTTTTAGCGATCCCAGGCTCCCCCAAGAGACCGAGTTAGCCTCGAAAAAGGCGGGGTGGGCGGCGACGCCGGGAGGCCGAGGCTCCCACCCGAGGCGGTGAACAAGGCGGTGAACGAGGCGCGTCCTCGCTGCTGGGCGCTCCCCGGGCTTAGGTCCCCCGCGCCGGGCCGAGCCTAGCCGAGCCAGCAAGTCCCAAGGAAGCGCGCCCGCCCCGCTCTGGCATGCCCTGCCCCACTCACCCTCTCCCCGAGGCCCGCGCCAGGAGGCGAGGGAGGCACAGGCCAGCACCCAGGCCCAGCCGTCCGCGGGGATACAATACGCCCGGGCGGAAGTGCGCCGCCAGCCGGATCCCGCGCGGCCGCTCTAGGATGCGCGGGAGGTCCGCGCTCGGTGGCGCCCGCCTGGGCCCTGGCTCTGGGCCGGCTTCCGGGCTCCCCAGGACCTCGAGGGCAGTGCCTTGTGGGCGCTTCCCTCCTTCCTGTGTCGCTGTGTGTCTGGTGGTGGCGGTCGCCCTGAGGACCAGAGCGGGCTAAACCGAGAGGGAAAAGGTTACTCTTCTTTTGTTTCCGTATAGTGTTTTCCACACAAGAATGTTCCTCCTGATGTTTTGCTCATACATTGATGTACTGACCCGAGCATACAAAGCCAACACCAAGACAAAAGTATGCCAGATTGCAGGGTCTTTATTGCCGTAGGCCACGGAGGACTCGCTTTTCTCCAACCCGTGGCCCCGAAAGGAGGGTGTCAAGACCTTTTATACTGGTAAAACCACCTCAGGAGTGAGGGGCTTCGGACGTTCTGAGGGCTAGTGGATTCTGTAAATCACCTCCTGGGCGAAGATGAGGGTGAGGGGCTCCGGACATTCCGAGGGCCAGGGGACTTTGGGCATTCTGATTGTTACTTAAGTGGTTCACAAAAGTCAAGATTAGGATTTGTTTACACATTGTCTGGGTAGGGTGGAAATTACAGTCCTTAATTACTTATTACAAGTCGCAGGAGCCAAGATGGCATGGGTTTGGACTGCTTGCCTGCCACATTTGTGTTACAGAGAGCAGTTTCGATAGAAAGCCGAGGTATGGTTGAGGTATGCAGTTTTATGGGGCTTTTACCATGTCACACATATGTTTGTGTCATTTTTGGTCTTTGGTTAGGATGAATCTTTACTACCTTTCATCCACTAAGAACCTTTGCCTGACCATGTACCTTCATAAAGCCGGGTCTATATTCCATTTTCCTACTTCTAGACTGGAATATTTGCCTAACATCTGAAGCTGATTGTGCCATACTCGCTCCAAACCTTTCAGACATGTTCTCTTAGGTAGTGGACGTGGTATTGACAAGCCCAGGCCGGCTGTGTACAGAACGGGCTAGTGTCGATTACAGACCTCAGGGAAAAACTCCTTCAGTTTGAATAACAACTTTTAAAAAAAGTATTTCAAGCTCCTGTGTACTGCCAGATGCACTGATTTTGTGCTCAGCGTACTAGAGGTGGTCAAAATATCCAGCAGCTGTCCAGGCATGATGGCTCATGCCTGTAGTCCCAGCACTTTGGGAGGCCAAGGTGGGCAGATTGCGTGAGCTCAGGAGTTCGAGACCAACCTGGCCAACATGGCGAAACCTCATCTCCACTAAAAATACAAAAAAAAAAAAAAAAGGAAAAAAAAATTAGCTGGGCATGGTGGTTCACGCCTGTAGTCCCAGCTACTTGGGAGGCTGAGGCACGAGAATCGCTTTAACCTGGGAGCTGGAGGTTACAGTGAGCCAAGATCTCACCACTGCATTTCAGCCTGGGCGACACAGCGAGACTCTGTCTAAAAAATAAAAAAATTAAAAAAAAGTCCAGCAGCTTCAAAATAGGAATCAGAGTGGTTTTTTTTTTTTTTTTTTAAACTACCAGGACAGAGAGACCACTTTTCTTTGTTTAAAAATCATTAATTGATCTATTTATTGGGCTCTTTCAACCTGTATTTATTCAAATATTAATGGAGCTCTGACTTTGTGGATAGTATTTTTGGTGCTGAGAGGATTTTTAAAATATGTCATGGTCCCTGTTTTTATTTTTACTTTTTATTTTTTTTTTTGAGACAAGGTCACACTCTATCACCCAGGTTGGAGCGCAGTGGTGCCATCTCAGCTCACTGCAACCTCTGCCTCCTGGGCTCAACCAATCCTCCCACCTCGGCCTCCCAAGTATTAGTAGCTGGGACTACAGGACTACAACTTTCCAAGTAGCTGGCACTACAGGCAAGCCACCACACGCAGCTAATTTTTTTTTTTTTTTTTTTTTGATGGGGTTTCACTATGTTGCCCAGGCTGGTCTCAAACTCCTGAGTTCAAGCAGTCCACCCACCTCAGTGTTCCAAAGTGCTGGGATTACAGGCAGGAGTCACTGTGCCCTGCCAGGCCCTGGTTTTAAGGAGACTACACTCAGGTTGGCAAAAGTTGTCAGGAAACAATCCACTAAAAGGGATATGGAAAAAGAGGGATCACTAGCTAAGAGATCAGTGAGAAAGAGATAGGACTTGAGCTGGATCTTGTAGGATGGATGACACGTTAATTAATGTGGAAATGAAAAAAAATAAAATGGACTTGGTTAAGTGGGGTCCAAATTAGTAAAGCATTGAACTCTGGACCTTGAACTTACCTATCTTGACACTTGCCTAGCTAAAAGTTCCTTAAGAAGACACATAGCATTCTACAGCTTGGTCTTGAACACAATCAGCTAGGACAGCGGGTCCCAACCTTTTTGGTACCAGGGACCAGTTTCATGGAAGACAATATTTCCTTGGGGGAAGCAGGTGGGGATACAGTTTTGGGATGAAACTGTTGCATCTCAGATAATCAGGCATTAGTTAGATTCTCATAAGGAGCATGCAACCTAGATCCCTCACATGTGCAATTCACAATAGGGGTCACGCTGCTATGACAATCTGATACCTGGGCTGATCTGACTGGAGACAGAGCTCAGGTGGTAATGCATGTTGGCCTGCCTCTCACCTTCTGCTGTGTGGCCCAGCTCCTAACAGGCCACAGACCTGTACTGGTCTGCAGCCCAGGACTTGAAGGCTCCTGAGCTAGGGGTCTCCCAGAGCTGTATTCTCCATAGACCTGGCTAGGGCTTATTTCTACCCATCCATCAAAGCTTTCTACTCCCTTCTACGAGGTTATTATACTTTTAGAGAATAGAAGTTTGTTCATTTTAAAATTTTTCTATTGTGGGAAATTTCAAACATATAGAAGTTGGGAGTGAACCTTTATATACAATCATCACTCAGCTTCAAAAGTTAGCAACATTTGATCCATCTTGTTTCACCTATAATTCCACCTATTAGTCCATTTTCATTCCTATAAAAAAATTATCTAAGACTGGGTAACTTATAAAGAAAAGAGGTTTATTTTGGCCTCCAGTTTTACAGGCTGTATAGGAAGTGTGCTGCTGGTGAGGGCCTCAGGAAGTTTACAATCATGGCAAGGTGAAGAGGGAGCAGGCATGTCACATGATAAGACAGCGAGGAGAAGGGGCCAGGCTTCTTTTAAATAACCAGCTCCCCAGTCAACTAATAGAGTGAGAACTCAAATAGGATAAACACAAAGAGATCACACAGACACATAATAAAAATGCTGAAAGCAAAGACAAGGAGGAAATCTTGAATGCAGCAAGTGAAAAAGGATTCATCCCTTACATGATCAAAAGATGACTT